GGTAAGTCCCGATGTCCACCAGCCCTGTGCCCCCCAGCTTTGTGGAGTCTTTCATAAACTGTTCAAGATGAGTCTGAATCTGAGGGTCCCAGTGCTGTGGAAAACATCGTGCTTCAATCCTGTACCGAAGACGCCGCGTCCCAGAGACCCCCAGGATTACAGACCTACTAACTTCTTACGTCATGAAGACCCTGGAACCATCTCCAACCTATTGTCAGGCCACTTATCAGAGGCTCTGGCGGGTGCAGCAAATTTTGAAAGCAGAACTGAGACGGAGAGCCGTAAGCTGCTCCAACTGTGTGTGCCGCCATCTTGGTATATAGTAGAGATGGACCGATCCAATATTACGTACTCAGTGCAGACTGAGGCTAAATCCCTGAAATGTCTCTGTCAACGCATTTCAAGCAGTTTGTCCAAAGTTTGTTCGTTCTGCGCTCCAGATGTGTCGAACGTGTTAACATGTTTAATCGTGATGACTGCGTTTAAGCCGCGTTAACGCTGACAGTGAGGTTTTTTGTTTTTGGAAACTAGTTCGTCCATGTTTGACTTCTTCTGTGTTGTAAATGTGCAAATCCGTCTGCGCATAATTACATTGCCCCGCCCATCAAAAAGAATATATCGCCCATGGGCGATTGTTGGACTGACGGGTGTTGGTTGGAAAATTTTTACATATCGCCCGACCCTAGTCTGAATAAACTGTGCAGTCCAGCCACAAATTGAACACTTGTGTCCGACTCGTCTCTGCTGTGCACCCTCATCCAACACCACGCAGTGCAGGGTGCAGGGTATAGGAGGGCTCCTGCAGCGGTTGGGTTGCATTAGCATGGCTAATGCCAGGTGCACAGTATCATCACCAAATACATGGTGGACGGGGCTTTCATCAGTGCTGGTGATTCTAACAAAGCATGGTTAAAGACGGACTCACAGTACGTAGAATGTGCCAACAGAGGAAAAACACATTAGACCCAGTGCCCAGTGCAGTGAACCCAGTGAAGGCTGCTGCCTCTGATGGTTTTTGTACTCAAGGCATGTGCTGACCAGCTTATGGGCGCCTTCACAAAGATCTTTAACAGATCCCTAACAAAGCCAACATCCTACCCTGCCTGATTTCTGTAATCAGGCTGTAATAATTCTGCCATCAGCAGACTGTGACACGGTGCTTAAAGGTCGATTCAATTCAAAGTTCAGGCCGTCTCCTACAGCAGGGTTTCACTGACCTTAATAATCAAATGAAATGTTTAGAACAGAGCAGCACATATTACTGGCATAAATATTGTGTGTATATTTCTGTCAGTACTCTGTGCCTGCGCAGCATTTGAATGGCATGTAGTTGCTGGGACTGTGGGATCGAGAAATGAATGAATTCACATTTAAGTTTTGATTTTGTGTAAGAACATTAGCAGTGCAGTTAAATAATCATTTTATGTTTTCATATTCAGAAACACAATTCAGCAATCCTGTGAAGGACCACACAGCCATTTTATAAATGACTAATAATAATGTCTTTGCTGTGTTTTTAATCAGTCCTCATCAGTGTCTCTTTTGTCTCTTCCAGGACCCTAAAAAGCGTTTTGGGGCATCTCTTGGTGCCTTATCAGGGGGCAGAGTGTATATCACCAGGATGGCTCTTATCAACCTGAAGTTAGCTTTGACAGTGGCTATCCGCTTCTCAGCTGCCAGGAGACAGTTTGGACCCACAGACACAGAGGAAATCCCTGTTTTAGAGTACCAGTTACAGGTAATAACATCAGGTACAGGTAACGTTTGGTGGGTAAAATAAGTTTCACCCAGTTTTCTAACTAAATACATTTGTAAAGGTGTTTTTGACATTTTCACTAGATGTTGGGAACAACATATTCAATTTACTCAAAAAAAATCAAACCATAAATGTCTATGAATTAAGCTACGTGTAAAATGACATGTGAAACGGGGGAAAGGTGTTGAACACGTTAGGAAGTGAGGTGCCAAATGCATGGAAAGTTAGGACACTGAGCCTGACAGCTGCCGCCTGTCAGTAATTAGAAGACAGCACTGCCACGATATCAACATTAATACCAGCTGATTCATTCATAAGCAGGTGTCACACAGGAAACCTCTCGATGTTTAACCCCAGGAAGCTTTCTCAACACCTTTGCAACCTTATTGTTGGGAAACGTACTGATGTCATCGAGAATTTCCAAACTGCTGAAGGCTCGAGTGAGCACATAAACCGTCCACGACCAGGTGCAAGACTTCAGACAGAGGGGTGAAATGAAATGTGAGTTGTCCAAGAGTCAGTGACTACTTGTGGAGAGCTACAGAAAGACCTGGAATCAGCAGATAGACAGCATGTTAGTAAGCGAGCTGCCTGCTCATGTTTGCCCCTCTGATGCTGGACAGGAGGCCCCGTGTGTTACTGAGGCAGGTTATTGGCCAGCAGATGGACGGGTCCGGTCCCTTCTCAGGATCCTTGGGGATCAGACCTTCCTGCCTTCAGTTAGACTTCCTGCCTCATCTCTTAGCAGCTGATTCATTGGTGCTGCCTGCACTAAGCTAGCCGCACAAAATGTGAAAGATAACACCAGAGTGTACTAATACTATGTAATCTATAATCCCCAGGTTAGTTTAATAATAACAATAATATAATAATGATAATGATATGATGATGATGATAATACATTTTATTTGAAAGCGCCTTTCAGAACACTCAAGGTCACAGTAGAATAAAAAGCAACATAAAAGCATAAGACATAAACTAATAAAAGAGCAGAGTGGGAGGTTATGTGGGATAAGCTATTTTGAACAAGTGGGTTTTGAGTTGGGACTTAAAGAGAGAGAAGGAAGAGATGTTTCTTAAATCAGCAGGTCGGGAGTTCCAGAGTCGTGGAGCAGAGCAGCTGAAAGCCCTGCTCCTCATGGTGGGAAGACGGGGGGAGGGGACGGAGAGTGAAAGGGAAGAAGATCTGAGACACTGAGATGGGGCGGTGATCTTAACCAGATCAGAGATATGGAGGGGAGAGATGATGATAGCCTTAAATGTGTGCAAGAGTATTTTGAAATTGATGCCATATTTGACCGGGAGCCAATGAAGCTGCAGGACAGGAGTGATGTGGGGGATAGAAGGGGTCCTGGTGATGATACGGGCAGCAGAGTTCTGGAGCTTGTGGATGGATTTTTGAGTAAGACCAAAAAGAAGTGAATTACAATAATCAGTCCAGGAAGTAACAAGGCTGTGGACAAGAATGGCAGCGACGTGGGCGGAGAAAAGGACGGAGACGATTAATGTTGCGCAATTGAAAGTAATCAGACCGACTAACATTATTAATGTGTGAATTGAAAGAGCACTGTCGAGGATGACACCCAAGCTTTTCACAGAGGAAGAAACGAAGAGTTATTGATAGTAACAGAGAAACTGTTGGTTCATGTTGATTTAGTGCCGACTGAGAGGAGCTCGGATTGAAATGTTAAAGTTGCACATGCACACCACTGCTCCAACATAACAGTGGTGTGCAAACCTTTAACAGGACCTTAGGTTGAGTTTTGCATCCCTGGTTTTATCAGAATGAGGACGCTGTGCACATTATGCATGTGAGCACTGTGATTGAAGGACTGCTGACAGTTACTGTTAGAGCCCATCAGACCAGCTTGCCTTGCTGAAGCGACTAAAACGTGGTCGGTTTTACTAAATAATCATTGCTTAGGAGCCATCCATAGATTAATATTAACCACTGTCAGAGCTGTTTTATTCATTCTTATTTTCAGCGTTAGGTCTGAGCTGTGGTGAGTTTCTGTTTAGATTTAAAGTTACTGTTTGTGGCAGTTACATCACTATTGTGTGCGGCTTTTATTATTGGAATTAAAGTATAATTGAATCATTAAAATATCTTATGCATTATGGAAATGGATGCCAAGTAACAATAAAATAAACGACTGCAGTTGGATGAATTATAAAATCTGGACTGGAAGCTTTGAATCTTTCCTCAGGGACACACCGTCACACTGCTGTTAATGAAGATGTAAAAGCAGTTCAACTACTGAATATCCAGAAATTATAAATCCTCTCATAAGAAGGATTCAGATACAGTAACGATTTATGTAATGATCTGTATGCTGACACAGTGCAGAGTAAATAAGGTTTGTTTTCTGAGTTTCCTGAGTCCATCAGTGTATTGTGGGAATCATGTTTTTTTAATATTGAACAGCAACAGTAAGTAAGTGAGTGAGTGTGGCTGCTGTTATTATATTCCATGTTCTTATTGTGTGTTTTCCCAGCAATGGCGTCTGATTCCGTACTTGGCGGCAGCCTATGCTCTTGAAAACTTCACCAAATCCATCTTGATGAACTTTGTTGAGTTTCAGATTGGACAGATGTTGAAAGACAACAGTGACACAGTGAGTAAGCATGCAGCATGTGTGTATTTGGAGTGTTTTTAGTTTTTATGAAGTAAAGTTGAGTATATGTGTTTCTCAGGCAGGGATGGGCAGAGAGATCCATGCAATTGGTTGCTCCAGCAAACCACTGGGATCATGGACTGCTCAAAGAGGCATCCAGGAGTGCCGGGAGGCCTGTGGTGGACACGGATACTTGGCCAGTCAGTCTCTCTCTGTCTCAATGTCACTCCTGCACATGCTCACTTAGGGCTGGCTGTCTCTCAGGAGGACGGGCAGGTCATCTACTAATCAGAACATTGGTTTGATCCAAGTCTGCATGTCAGCTATTGTGCAATATATTAATGTTGAGCTTACAATAATCTGCAAAGCCCTCTCAAAAAAGATTAGAGAAGATAACGCACAGTGCATCCTGACCAAACCAGTGTCATAAAAGGGAGGCACTCATCCAAAAATCCAGAATCTTTTCACTTTAGGCAGCGTGTTTCTGGTCCCAGTCATATAAAGGACACACACTGGTCCTTGTTCTCTCCTTGGATTTAACTATAATTGCTGTTTGTGTGGAGGGTTTCCATGTGAGTGACCACAGCTGCATATTTTTTATTTTGTCATTTTATTCCAAGATGAATTATAAACCAGGATGCTGCTGAAAGGTTCTCTGCCGTGTTTGATGCTGATTTAAACTTAGTGATGTGGACTCAAAGGTTTCATCCTTCAGCAGTCAGTCTAACT